GCAGGAGGAGGAAAAAGAGGTGCCTTCGGCAAAGAACTCCGAGACGTTCGAAAAGAGAAAAAAAGGAGAGAAAAAGGGAAGAAAAAAGGAGGAAAAAACTGAAAGTGAAAAATTAAAAAACCGAGTAAACCAAACACAAAGAAGTCTATGAAATTTTTTTAAAAAAAGTTCTGTTGTGAATTGGATTGTAAATATTTGTTCCAGTGTAGACTAGACTGATAAAACGTAAGTGTCTCCTGGTTTTAATTGTTTAGAATAAGAGTCTAAACTCATGCACCCACACACATTCAGCATAGGGTTAAAAAAGGAATTTGAGTTTTCATTTGTTTTGGCAAAATTAATATTAACTCTTTTCGAAAGAAATGGGTGGCCCTGGAAAGGTCCGCTGGGTGTTTTTTTTCCCCTGAGCACAAGCTCAGGAACGAGAAGCAATCAACTTTAAATGTCTTAAGCCTTTGCCACGGCCAAGGCTACTTGTGGAAATGCTCCTATCAATGATTTAGTAGACATCACTAGAGGTGATTTCAATGGTGTACTCACAGGGTTATACTGTTTGGCTTGGGAGGTCTTTTTCTCTTGCATCGTAATAAAGAAGTCTGATACATTTGTTTCAGACTTCCTAACTCAGCCATTATTTCCAAGAGTACCGTGACCGTTTGACATTCACTGTTCTTCTTCTCCTCTAGCCTTTGTTTCTTCTCCATTGCTTCTTCCTGTCGAAACGACAGGAAACCTTCTTCTCGCTGTTGCTGTTCAAGGAGAAATACTTGTTATGCCTCTTTCTGCTGCTGTAAAAAAATTATCTTATTCTTCTTCCTGATATTGTCTAAGATTGTCGACCTGTTGTAAAGAAGGAGAAATTGGCGAAGGTGCTGGTGCTGGAAAAAAGTCTTGCGAAGAGAGAAAAATCTGCTAAATCCCATCTAAATTCAACCTCTTCGTGAAGTTGCGCTGTGTTCACTTTAGTAGCTGCTGCTATGCCATCGCTTTTTTGTCTCCATAGCCGGTGCACTACAATCCATCATCTTCTTAGCTTCCGTCATATTTCACAAAACAATGTCGCCATAAATTCACTGCAAACAAACGCTAGCGCACATATATAGGGAATGTGATGTCATAGGTAGCTATCTTTCGATTGGAAGACTCCGCCATGTGACTGAATTTTGTAACGCGTGATGGGTTAAGTGAACAATTTCAATCCGTTTCGATCTGCCACAATAAATAAACGCTTCACTTCATTTCCTTCACCTGTTATAGTCTAAAAGACAGACGTTGAATCCTCAACTCTCGTATCGTCGACGCTGTTCCATAGGGACTTACCCATGAATGTGAAACAAATCGACTATTATTAAGATCGCTGGTGGAACTGTTTGGAAATGAAGATGCTATGTGGAAAGACAAAGCTCTATGGAGAGAATCTTCATATACGGACCAGAAGTGAGACACAACTTGATGAATTTGTTGAAGATAAGAAAACCTCTGTGATGTCCTGTATGTTAACGGAATGGTGTTAACATAACAAACGACGGCCGTTTTCAGGGCCTCTTCCTCAAAAAGATATTAATTTTAATTTTACCACACACGCTTGTGTGTGTGTGTGTATATATGGTTGGTTGGTTGGCTTCCGTTAGTCTCGAGAGACGATGGAAATGCGCCCATGAAAGGTGTCCTAGTTTGTAGTTGTGCAGCGTCTTCTGTGACTATAAAGCCCCACACGGGAGTGGCAATCCTTGCTACAGTTGCTACACTTGAAGTTTGAGTCAGGTCTTGGTTGGAACTGCATCCTCTTCCTCTGAGATCTTTTCTCATCGGCGAGCTGTCGTAACATTTCCTCGCCGAAGTTCAGACCTGTGAACAGAGCATGTCGCCAGCTGGACTTGTCGAGGGCAAGCTCTTCCCAGGTGTTGACCTCGATCCCAAGAGCTTTCATATCCTGCTTGCAGACATCCTTGAAGCGAAGATGTGGCCGTCCGATTGATCTTCTGCCTGAGGCAAGCTTAGAGTAGAGAAGGTCTTTGGGGATCCGTCCATCATCCATTCGACGCACATGGCTCAGCCATCTGATGCGACGTTGGCGGAGGAGTGTGACCATGCTGAAAATTTTGGCCTGTTGAAGCACCTCGTTGTTTGTCACACGATAGCTCCAGGTGATCCCGAGTATGCGACGGAGACAACGCATGTGAAAGGGACTCAAGTCGTTTCTCCTGAGAGGCGTACAGGGTCCAAGTTTCGCTGGCGTACAGGAGATTGCTAAGCACGCAGGCACGGTACACGGAGATCTGCGACAATCTAGAGAGAGTTGTTGACGCCTTTCCAATCCGCTTGTTGAGCTCGGCATCGAGTGAGAGGTTGTTGGTGATGGTAGAGCCAAGGTAAGTGAACTCACTAACTACTTCTAGTTTGTGGTTATTGATGATTATGCTGGGAGAGTCTGCGTCCTGAGCCATCACGTTGGTTTTCTTTAGGCTGATGGTCAACCCGAAATCACATGCTTTAGCAAAGCGGTCCATCAGGCGTTGTAGTTCAGCTTCTGTATGAGTGACTATAGCAGCATCATCTGCAATGAGCATGTCCCTAATGGTTTCTTTCCTTACGTTGTTCATTGACTTCAGTCGTGCCAGGTTGAACAGTCTGCCGTCTGAACGTGTGTGCAGGTAGATCCCTTCTGTGGATGTCCCAAAGGCGTACTTAAGCAGGACAGCCAAGAAGATGACAAAGAGTGTGGGGGCAAGGACACAGCCTTGTTTCACTCCGCTGTGGATGTTGAATGGTTTGGATGATGAGCCATAATACTGCACTGTGCCTTTCATGTCTTCATGGAAGGACTGGACCATGCTTAACAACTTTGGAGGGCATCCTATCTTCGTCAGGATTTTCAAGAGTCCGTCTCTGCTGACCAAATAGAATGCTTTGGTGAGGTCTATAAAAGCCAGAAGAGGGTTCTGTGTTGTTCCCTGCACTTCTCCTGCAGTTGCCTGATGGAGAAGATCATGTCAATTGTGGACCTCTCTGCGCGGAACCCACACTGAAACTCTGGATACACTCTGTTGGCAAGCGTCTGCAGTCTGTTCAGGATGTATATATATATATATATATATATATATATATATATATATATATATATATATATATATATATATATATATATATATATAAATATATATATAAATAAAGCGACCCTTGTTCTTTTCTGCTAAGACCAGCGGAGTTGTTTAAAAATCAATCAAGCACATACTTCAAAACAACGCTATAACAGTAACTAGTAGAAAATATTCGAAATACACAGGCAATACATATCTCTGGCCAGAATAGATCTCTCTCAACAACTACCGCAAACATAGTAACAACCAGAAATACTTTGTTAAAAACCTTGTCCCTTCTAACTTTGCCAACATCCCCACACTTGTTGAAAAGCAGATGAACATACAATCAGAAATTACTTACAAATGAGATTGGATCATTTATCCATACATACGTTATTACCCAAGCAGATTTCATTGAAGCATATCCATGCGCTATTAAAAACTACATTTCCCTTATTACTCGGACATAGCATATAAGTTATTTAGAGTGTCTTTCATACAAGTGTATAATTTTACCATCAACTGCAATTGTAACACAAGTATGTTACAACTAGTCTCACCTCTTCCTTCGTGTGATAAATATGCAAAACCATAACTAAAAAATGAGGGGTTAATTTAATGCCAAATACAAATTTTCTTTCGCAATAATACATGTGCTCATGGAACACAAATGCTCCACCATTATGTCCCTGAACACAGAACTTAACTTGTACCAACGCCCTTTTCGTATGGACAAGAATAATGTATGCAATTACTGCACTCTTTGTTAGACCAGAAAGCACACACATTACTACACTTTTATATCTGGATTACATTGTTAATTTTGTTTTCTCAATACAATTCCAGGATGAAAAACTGGCTATATTTTGATATATTCTATACCATGTGTATCATCCTATCAGTACATTAAAACTTGATTTTTTTTCCAATATTTACATTAACAAACTGGATAAAATATACTTTTCTAAAAAAAAAATAGATAAGAAATGAAGAGACAATAATCTCCCATTTTTCGAGATCGAGACCTCCAGACAGATCGATCAACCATCTGATCACAAACATAATAGATAGACCATACATTGAGCACGCAAATTTAACATAAGATTCTGTGAAATGAACTAGTCATCTCCGTTATAGAATATTGTAACTCCTATAGAAACAAAACTTAAATTTAGTTGTACTTGCCATTTTAGGGGCTACAATTCCACTATAACTTTGCAAACTTTAAGTCTGGATATAATTGTTTTAGTTTGATGCAAACGTAGGTACGTCTTCAATAGAAATGATCTTGCATGAAACATACATCAATAATAAATCAAGAGTTTGAGCACCGAAGTAATAACTTTTCTAGTGGAGTGATATTAACTGACCTTTACAATTGACATAACTGTATCTTAATCTATTTTCGCTTTCGTTTTAAATTTACTTTTGATTATATAACAATGACATGCAAAATTATCATGGATTTTAATGATTTTAAAAATGGTACAAATTTTACCCCCAAAATTCGCGGTGCAGATAGATAAGGCATGATTAATACACAATAAATCAGCCGTTCAATTTTTGCTTGGGAGGGGGTGGATAACAAATTGTGTGTGTGTGTGATTTAGATTTTTAATGTGGCTTTAATAATTTTTCAGTCATATCACTACGACATCTGCAGTGTGACAGTTTATAGTGATGTTTTGCACTGGGACATATGTTACTAATATTAGTACCCTTAGTCCTACCTTGTGGACAACAAAACAAGTTGAGGCTACCACATCGTAACTATGAAGCATCATGCCGCAGACATGTGGCATGATGTCCCATCCAGTCACATTATCCTGACACCAGGCCAACCAGTCCTAACACTAACCTCTTATTGCTGAGTGCAAAGCGAGGCAGCTGTTAGTACCATTTTAATTATTCTTGGGTTTGACTTGACCGGGGTTCAAACCCACGACCTCTCGCATATGAGGCAGACGCTATAACAACTAGGCCACAGGAGCGGTTAGAACAGAGAACTATCCCGCTGCCTACAGACAGGAACAAAACACTAGGTAGATAACACACAATCAGCGATTGAAAACAAACTCAGCTATTAGGAAAAGGTTTAAAACACTTCGTATAAACAAACCATGTGAATAATTTGCCTTCTTTGGCTCATGCAGCCTACACTCAAGAGTAACTATGATGTATAAAAGCTTACTGGGAAAGAGAAGCATGCAAACAAACATTTAATTTGTGGAGAGAATGCACAAAACCATGTATCAACGTCATTGTTGATGTTATAGTAATCTCATTAAATAACTTGTTTCTGTTAGCTATCTAAAATTTGAAATCAATGCACTTGAGACGTATGCTGTAAAAGAAAACATCTAAGCAGTGTTGTGCTTTGCACGTGTTGTCCCATTTGCTGGCTTCATAATCTGTGATGTGATTATGATTTTTAACGTAGCTTTAACAATTTTTCAGTCATTTCGCTATGATGTCTGCAGTGTGGCAGTTTAGAATGATGACTAGCACTGGAGAATCATGCCACAGACATGTAGCATGATGTCCCACCCAGTCACATTATCCTGACACCAGACCGACCAGTCCTAACACTAAGCTCTTAATACTGAGCCCAAGCAAGGCAGCTGCTTGTACTATTTTTGTAAGCCTTTGGTATGACTTGACTGGGGGATCGAACCCACCACCTCCCGCATCCGAGGCGGACTCTCTAACCACTAGGCCACGGGAACGGTTGCTTCATAATCTGACTGATCTAGTAACTTTAATGATTTTCAAATATAGTGCTGAACCAGAGATATTCAATTTTATTTTAAAATATTTACATTATTATATAAAGTGGTGAAGGTGCTGGTGCTGAAACAAACTCTTGCGAAGAGAGAAAAATCTACTAAATCCAAGCTGAAATCAACCTCTTCGGGAAGTTGCACTGTGATATTAAAATTTATTTTTAAATATTTTAATATACTTAATACTAATGCTTTCTGTAAAATCTTGTAAACTGTAATACAATATTTCATAAAGCACAACTGAACTTTTGTTTTCTTGGGAGTATGGGTGGGGTAAATTTGCCATTTTAAGTAGCGATGTGTGCGGCTCCTTTGTATGCACAAGCTATGTGACTATGATCATTAACAGATCCAGCAAAGCATTAGTGAGGAAAACTTGCTGATATTATCATGGGTAAGAATCATGTCAGTATGTGAGGAACGTTGTGGTATAATCTATTCCACTATAGCATCCAGTGATTCAAGAAACACATCGACCATGCCCCTGCCATGGTAAAATATTGGCAGTTCCTTTGCTCCATCATATGACAAACAATGTAGCAAAACTTTCATGGGACTTATTTGACTAAAGTACAGAGGCAGCTTCCACGGGTATGTTCACAGATTCAACGTTAGTAATAAAATACATACAATACCTTCAACCTCCACTGAATTTCAAAATGTTCTTGCTGGACACAAGGACAATGTGATATCATTTTAGAGTGCACTGAAAAGTTACCCATTTCATCTTCATGAACATATATAAAGACAATGTTTATTTACTTTATATTTGTTAGCTTGCTGCTTAATTTCATGTTTATTTTTGTAATGTTGTGACAGTATAAGTTTCTATGTGTTATCTAATATTGTAAAGTGCATAGAGCTTTTAAACATTAGGTGTTGTACTAAGTCCACATTATTAACTAATTAATTAAGTTCACAGATGAAAAATGTTATATATTAATCTATCTACCATATATTTGTAATGCTGTCTTGTGAATTCAACGGTTATCAATAATAATAATACTGTAGGACTATCAGGAAGCAGCATTGCAAACTGTTTTGCACATATAAGGGAAATCCCTGTGCTGCACTTATCTTGACCACGGGTGTAAAGTTGTTGGGTGTAGAAGGCTCGAACCTAGAACAGTAACTGCAGTCTCAAAGCCCAAGTAGATATACTGCCTTCATGTCATTAACAGGTATACAGGAAATTATGCATTTTGGGCTTGGTTTGCCATTCATTTATAGACTGAAATATATATCAATTTACCAAATCTAATACAGATATTAACCATAAAACTAACAATACAATGCCGTAAATTGTGAACATTAGCATTCCGATTTTTATCACCACTCTACTATAATAAAGCACACATAAAATTACACACATTACCACTGGAGACCTAAATTTTATTACATAAACTCTGTAAAAATGGTTACTCTCAACAGTAGATGAAATTATTGGATTTGTAGAAGTTATGTCGCTTTCATCATTTTTACAAGTTATGTTATATAATGCCTAGCTATGTCATTACTACAATGCTAGAAGAGCACTTGCTTATACAGTACATAAATGTTGGGCTGAAACAATAGGCCAATACATGTATATTGATATTAATTGATATTAATTGAGATATTAATGTGAACTAAAGACTAAATTTAACTATTATACTCTTATATATCATTTTAAATGGATTCTCCATCCTTAGTATCAGTGTGTATCAACATGGTTAAATTACTGATATATATAAGTGAACTGTGTCACTCCTATTAAAGGGGCCCCCGAGTGGCCGAGTGGTCTAAAGCGATGTCCGTTACGGATCACTGCCATCTCACCTCTGTCTTTGTGAGTTCGAGTCTAGGATTCGGCGAATGTGGATATGTGAGAAAGCTTGCTAGTAGCTTCTCGTGGGTCGGTGGTTCTTTCCGGTGATTTTCCGGTTTCTTCCTCCACCATTAATACTGGCCGCCATGAATAGCCTATCATGTGCTGAAAAATGGCGTTAAGCCCAACAACAACTCCGATTAAACAGTAACAATTAAGTTCAGTGAATCATAAACTAATCATACCATAGTAGAATATATTCAGGTAAATATTTTGTAATACATATGATAGTGGGACCTTTATATTTAGATACATATCATAAACTATTTGACAATCCTGAGCTCAGTTAACATCAAGGTGCTCAAGATCATACAGTAAAACATTTATTATCAAGACTCTTCAGAAAAAGTGGATTTCATCCCAATAATTGGTTTAGATAAGTGCTCAATTTAGATAAATTACTTTAGAATCATGCAACAAAAAATAATCAAAAGCATAAAATTACTGATAGCATCATTTTCAATATTTTAAAAGTAACTATAACGAGATGCTCATGTCTGTATGATGCAAAATTGGAATTGGCACACAACTCCTCTCATGTTAATTTAAAGTTTACCTTTTACTCCTAACAAACTGCAGAGTCCCAGATTTGCTGGCACATTTTGTGATGGTAGATCTGGGTCTGTGCAGTTTGACTCAACTTCTAAGTATACTGTACCTTTAAGTCTAATGATTACCCCTAACAAACTGCACAGGCCAAGATCTGCCAGCTGATAATGCACTGGCAGATCTGAGTCGGTGCATTTTGTGGTGTGACTGAGTTAAAAGCATTTACAAACCATGATTAAAATAATCTCATTAATATAAAGATGCATGATAAAGTTTGCTAAAATCCAACATTCCTAGGTAAATTTATTGTGCAAAAACCAAAGAAGGTTGCACAATCAGGGACCATAACTGTTCTAAATGTCCAAGTGGAATACTGGAAAATAAACTAATTCAAGGACTCATGAACATAGATTTGCATGTTAAATTTGATTAAAATCCTACAATACTTTCAAATGTAATGCTGATGAAACCAAAGACAGGTGACTTACAACCCAAGGTTATAACTCTGTTAACGATGTTCAAGAATGTTCATAAAATCTCATTTAAGGTCACGTTTATAAATTCACCTACAAATTTGACTGAACACTAACCAACCTTGGAAAAGTTTTGTTGTGAAACCAAAGCTAGGAGGACAGGCAATCAGTGTGTATAATTCCTGTAAACGATATTCTGAAATTTTGGAAGGCCCCATCTGTGTCAAGTCCCATACCAAATTTTGTTGAAATTCAACAAACCTTGATAAGTGTTGATACTGAAAGAAAAGTCATCAGGAAAGACAATCTGGGAGAAGAACTTCTGTAAATTAGGCCACACTTGTATACATTTAAAAGTTTCATCAAAATAAAGCCTCATATCAAAATAATTTATGCTGTGGAAACCAAAGTCAAAAAGATGGGCACTCAGGGGGCATAACTCCTGTAAATTACATTTTGGAATGTTGTATATTAACCATTTTAAGTTATCACTAATACAGACCTGTATGCTAAATTTTAAGTTTTATATTCATTGGGAAAGAAAAGGAACATAAACATTATGGGGATTGGCAATCAAGGTAAAAAATTCCTCTAAATCATGACAAAGATGGATGAATATGGGAACCATCTGACATCCCATGGACATAAAGCTGAAAACCAAATTTTGTTCAAATCCAACAATTCTGAGTAATCGTAAGGAAAACAAACTGGTAATGAACAAAAGTATGATATTACAATCAACTTTGATAAACACTGATGAGTGGGACCTTAAGGAAGTGAATTTTGGTGTTGGAAAATGTTTAAGGCATAATGTGTCATAATGCAGCTGTATCTGAATAGAAATATGAATTTATTAATGTTATCTCATCTTGATGCCATGGATTGATATATGGATATATTTTACACCAGTGAGTAAACAGTGTTACTAATATTGAAGAATTTATATATCCTCTACCACACACTGGCACATATATAGACAGTAACATACCCATACACACATATACAGCCTGTAACATACCTATATGCACACACACACATAATATATATACTTACTTATAACATGAATCCAACTGTAAACCGTACAGACCCAGATCTGCTGTTGCGTAAAGAACTAGTAGATCTGGGTCTGTGCAATTTGCTAGGTGTAATCAGTAGGAACAAAATAGCAACATAGGACCTAATTTGCAGGTGCATTATGTAATGGCAGATTGGAATATTTATTGTTTGCAGTCTGACGACTTATAATAAAGAATTTTGATGGTAGAAACTCATATACGCAGGGAATAACACTCAAAATGTTACGCAAAGTTAGGACAT